GGTTATGTTCCAGTAGCAGCAAATGCAACAGATGAATAGAAAAACGCGCAGAAGGAAGTAAGGAAGAAGGATCAGAAAGCATTATTCTTTATTCATCAATGTGTTGATGTCAATGTGTTTGAGAAGATTGTAGATTCAACGACAGTAAAGGTTGCGTGGGACACACTGGTGAGATGTTATGGTGGTGACGCATCAGTGAAGAAGGTGAAGCTTCAGTCCTTGAGAAAGCAATATGAGAATCTCAACATGAAGAATAATGAGAAAGTTTCTGAATACATCTCCAGAGTGATTCTGATCACTAATGAGATGAAGGCGTGTGGAGAAACTCTTTCTGAAGAAACAATCATGGAGAAGGTATTGAGATCCCTTACCTCTCAATTTGATTACATTGTGGTAGCAATAGAACATTCCAAAGATCTGAGTACCATGAGAATTGAAGAGCTGCAGAGCAGTTTAGAAGCGCAAGAGTTGCGTTTGACTGAGAGAACTTCTGAAAGGGAAGTAGAGCAGCAGGCTCTGAAAGAAACTTCTGAAAGTAGGTATCAGAAGCAGTCAGAAGCCAAGAGAAGATCTGATGATGGTCAGAAGTCAGAAAGCTCAATCTCTGATAGGCAAAAGAATGCTCAGAAGGGAAAAGAGAAGTATGATAAGAAGAAGATCCAATGTTACTGTTGTAAGAAGTTTGGTCACTTTGCTAGAGGTTGTTGGTCAAACAAGGAGAAGAAATCAGACGAAGCAAATATAGCCAGAAGTTCTGATGACGAATCTGTGCTATTGATGGCTTCTGAATCTGATAATATGGATCTGGTAGACTGGTGGTATATGGACACTGGCTGTTCAAATCATCTTACTGGAAACAAGAAATGGCTGGTTGACTTTGACTCTGAAAAAAGAACAAAGATCAGATGTGCTGATGACAAATATCTTAATGCAGAAGGTATGGGAAATGTCAGAGTGATTCTGAACAATGGGAAAACATCATTGATTCAGAACGTGTGGTATGTACCTGGCATCAGAAGCAATCTGATGAGTGTGGGACAATTAATTGAGAAAGGTTTTTCAGTTACCATGAAGGATAATCTCCTGAAGCTGTATGACTACAATCAGAAGTTGATTATGGAGTCAGAACAGGGAAGGAATAGAACATTCAAGGTGAATGTCAGAACTGCAGACTCAGAATGTCTTAGTGCAACATGTGCTGAGAAGGAGAGTGAGCTGTGGCACAGAAGATTTGGTCATTTGAATTTCAGAAGCTTAAAACATCTGAATTCAAAGAAGCTGGTACATGGAATTCCTGCAATTAAGAAGCCTGAGAAGTCATGCAAAGTTTGCATGGAAGGAAAACAACCACGTTTGTCATTTGCGTCAGAAGTTGCTCCAAGAGCAAAACATGCCTTGGGAGTTGTACATTCTGATGTGTGTGGTCCATTTCCAGTAGCATCAACTGGAGGGAATAAATACTTTGTGTTATTTGTTGATGAATTCACAAGAATGACATGGGTATCCCTTATTAAGTTCAAACACGAGGTGTTTGATGAATTCAAGAAGTTCAGAATGAAGGCTGAGAATCAGAGTGGTCAGAAGTTGAAGATTCTTAGAACTGATGGTGGAGGTGAGTATAACTCCAAAAAGTTCCAGAAGTTCTGTGAGGAGAATGGAATTGAGCATGAGGTTATTGCTCCTTATACCCCTCAACACAATGGTCTTGCTGAAAGAAGAAACCGCACTTTTCTTGATATGGTGAGAAGCATGCTAAATGAGAAGAAGCTTCCTCAGAAGCTCTGGGGAGAAGCTGTTGCCACTGCAATGTATGTACTCAACAGATGTCCTACGAAGAAGTTGAAGGAAATAGTTCCTATGCAGAAGTGGACTGGAGACAAGCAAAGTGTTAGTCATCTGAAGGTGTTTGGTTCTGTTTGCTATAAACATGTTCCAGAAGCCAGAAGACAGAAGCTGGATGATAGAAGCAAAGTGATGATTCTGATAGGGTACCACAGTACAGGTGCATACAAGCTCTATTGTCCAGAAACCAATAAAATTGAATTCAGCAGAGATGTGATTGTGAAGGAATCAGAAGTTTGGAATTGGGATAAGTCTCAATCTGATTCTGATGTTAGAACTCCTGAAGAAAGGTCAGAGTTAAGAACTTCAGAAGTTGGAGTAAATTCTGACGTTGATTCTGACTCTGATAGTGATTCTGACTCTGGAGAAGACTCAAAAGATGAAGGTGACTCTGATGATCCAGACTCTGAAGATGGCCAAGGCTCTGAAGGAAGTCAAGCCTCTAAAGCTAGAAATGCTGAAGTTCAAGACTCTGGAAATATGCCAGATCCTGAAATTGGTCAAAGCTCTGGAGAAAGTCAATCATCTGAAGCCCAAGACTCTGAACAAGTTCAGAGACCACAAAGAATCAGAAACGTCCCCAGAAGATATGCAGAATTTGACATGCTGCAAGACACTGAAGTAGACTCTGAAGGAGAAGTTATTCAGTGTGCCATGATGGTAGACTCTGAACCTATAAGTACAGAGGAGGCTCTTAAGCAGAAGCTCTGGCTGAAGGCCATGAAATAAGAACTTGATGCTATAGAGAGAAACAAAACTTGGAAGCTGACAGAACTTCCAAAAGACAAGAAAGTCATCAGCGTCAGATGGGTTTTCAAGCAGAAGTTAAAGCCAGATGGATCAATTGGCAAACATAAAGCAAGGTTGGTAGCCAAAGGATTTCTACAAAAACCTGGGCTGGATTACTATGAAGTGTTTGCACCTGTAGCAAGACATGAAATAATCAGAATGGTGATTGCAATAGTTGCTAACAGGAATTGGCCTCTGATGCATTTAGATGTAAAATCTGCATTTCTGAACGGTCCATTAGAAGAAGAAGTTTACGTGTCACAACCTCTTGGATTTGTGAAAAAGAATCAGGAAGGGATGGTGTACAGATTATACAAAGCTCTATATGGATTGAAACAAGCGCCCAGAGCTTGGAATCAGAAGATTGATTCATTTTTCAAGAAGCAAGGCTTTCAGAAATGTGAGATGGAGTACAGTGTCTATGTTCAGCATACTTCTGAAGGCAATATGACTCTGGTATGTTTATATGTTGATGATATACTATTGACTGGAAGTTCTGAACAGGAGATAGCCAAGTTCAAGAAAGTTCTGATGAATGAATTTGAAATGACTGATCTAGGCAAAATGACATACTTTCTAGGGATGGAGTTCAGATATTCTGAGAAAGGTATTATTTTGCATCAGCTCAAGTATGAATTAGAACTTCTGAAGAGATTTGATCTGAAGAATTGTAAGATGGTTGTCACACCTTCTGATACAAATCAGAAACTGGATTCAGACTCTGAAGGAAAGGATGTGGACGCTACAACCTTCAAGCAGTTGGTTGGTTCTCTGAGGTATCTGTGCAATACCAGACCTGATATTTGCTACTCAGTTGGGATGGTTAGTAGGTTCATGAGTAAACCTAAGTGGTCCCATTACCAAGCTACTGTCAGGATTCTGAGGTATATCAAAGGAACTCTGAAGTATGGAGTGTTATTTCCCTCTGGAGGAAATAATGAGTCAGAACTTTTGAGTTATTCAGACTCTGATTGGTGTGGAGACAGAGTTGACAGAAGAAGTACATCTGGGTACTTGTTCAAATTTCTGGGAGGTTCCATTTCTTGGTGTTCCAAGAAGCAACCTGTTGTGGCGTTGTCAACCTGTGAAGCTGAATACATTGCAGGTGCTGTTACTGCATGCCAAGCTGTGTGGATTATGAATCTGTTGCAGAATCTGAAGATTAAAGTAGACAAACCTCTGAAGTTGATGATTGACAACAAGTCTGCAATCAATCTTGCCAGAAACCCAGTGTTGCATGGGAGAAGCAAGCATATTGAGACCAAGTATCATTTTCTGAGACATCAAGTTCAGAGTGGAGTGTTAGAAGTTGTACACTGCAGCACTCAGAAGCAGTTGGCAGATGTTCTGACGAAAGCTGTCAAGACTGATCAATTTTTCAGACTAAGGGATGGAATTGGTGTTACAAGTTTTGGTGGAATATGAATTAAGGGATGGTATTAGAATATTAATAGTAATTCATATTTATTTAGTTGTACTATTTTCTTAGCCCCTAAGTTTGTTAGAGGGTATTTTAGTATTTTATCTTATTCTAGTAACCCTAGTTTTAGCTTATAAATAGGGTGACAATCATTGTAACTTTTATCATGTTTTTGTAGCCGTCATTCTTAATAGAATATTTCCTTTGTTCATCATTTATTCACCTTTGCACCAACACACACACACACACACACACACACACACACACATATATATATATATATATATATATATATATATATATATATATATATATATATATATATATATATATATATATATATATATATATATATATATATATATATATATATATATATATATATATATATGTGTGTGTGTATGTGTAAACTACCATATAACCGCTATTTAAAAGTTGAAGTTAAAAATTTAAAATATTTATATATATATTATTACATTCTTTTTTTAATAAATGATTTAAAATAAAATTAAAATTCAACACAAATAAAATAAAGTATTATAAAAACATACAGAAGAGCATGGACGCTAGTGTATTAATAACCTAAAATGATAAATTAAAAATAGAAAATAAAAAAGGGAGGCATGTGTTTACATGCAAATATTTTTATTCACCCATAATTAATTAGTATTTTATTAGTATTTTCTTGAATGATTGAGAGAATGTGTCGATAGGATGTGGTGATAACATATAAGCCATTTGTCTATAAACACCATATCCATATTTAATTATTGAACTTGAATCTAATCCAATCATTTTTAAAATTAACGAATGCGCCTCTCATGTCATTTTATTATATATAGTTGATTCACCAACTTCTCATATACAATGAACAACAATAAAGAATCTCAATCATAATCAACATTTTTTAACAATTGTGTTTTGTTATTTTTCTCCCACTTCTAGCTAAATGGAACAAGAGATTGAAAATATGATACTCAGCATGGGTTCACTTGGAACCAACTTCTCCCAAAAGTAAGAACATTTAACTATTATAAGTTTGTTTATTTTATTTGGTTTAATCAAAATTTGGTGCGATTCGCAGGAGCAGGAAAGGATTATCAAGGCATTACTCAGGAAAGGCAAGATCATTTGCTTGTTTGGAAGATGTTCATTTCGTGGAAGATTTGAAGAAACCAAAACATCCTGATGCAAAGAAAAGGAAGAAACATTCTTATCAGAAGGAATTCATCAACGTTAATCCTCATCCTTGTCGAAGAGCACCTAGTTGCACTCAATTAACTACCCCTTATGTTAATGCTTAGAATTTCCTCGTGTAGCATTGAAATTTTTTGTCAAAATCACAGTACTCCTATGATACTGATAATTCAAACATACGTTAAGAATCATTCACTTACGTGATGAATTCATCACTATACTTTTTTTTTATCAATGTTGTATATATGTAAGCAAATTATTATTTATTATTTTTTGCACTTTAACTTTTATACAGTTTGTATACATTGTACAATTTCAATAGAGAAATAGAAATTGAAATCTCTTAAATTTTATCTTTCTCAATCTTGTTTGTTGGTGTGTGTGTATGGCAAGTTGTACATTATATATGCATATTTCTGCAAAATATTTATGGAGGAGTATGTGATATTTTAGTCATAACTTTTATATTGACCTTGTTTTTAAATGCACGTTACTTTTCTAAAAAACCATACTCAATTTTCTTTTTTTTTTAGCACGTATTTATTGAAATTAAATTAATATTGGTGTTGTGAAAATTAAAATAATTCAAATTTCAAGCGCATCAAAATTGGTGTGTGAGACAAAGAACCATGACAAATAAAATAAATTATCTCAGGAAAATTAAGCAATCTTTCAAATAGTGAAAAAAATAAAATGCCAAGAAGAAGAAGAGAATAAGAGACAAAAACACTGATAATTTGTTTACTCAGTTTGATCAAACTATTCTATTTAAAAAAAAAAAACTATCTAATTCATTATACTTCCAAAGTTTTTACAAGAGATTACATAATGAGTTACAAGAAAATAATCTTCCAAATTCACATAAACATCTCCTATTTTCTATCCTACGTGTTTCTCAATCTTCTAGCCTCTTATTAATGTATAAATCACACAAACCTAAGGTATTTAAAAGTGTTTCTCAATCCCTTTAGATTGCCCTAAAGGTCTTCTAATTATTAGAATAAAAAATCCTAAGAATCCCTTCATTTGTCTCTCTAAGTTTCTCTTATTAGGATTTCACTATTCCCAATTTCTTACCTAAAAGGGGATGAAAATTATTTTACAGATGTCAAGAGATCAACAATACATTTCCTTGAAATGTGTTGTGTTTATGAAGAAACGTGAGAATGCGCTATGTTCCCCATTACGCATCGCCTTCCTAAAACACACAACATTTATACCAAATGTAATGCATTTTTGTGAATTTACAAATTGGATTCTAAGTCTATCGTCACAATTTTCCTCATTGACTTTAAAATCGATGGCAATGCCAATTTTTCCATCAACCACATTGTCGCTCTCTCCAAATCTTTAGTCATTCTTTAACAAACTTGGTCAAGTCCAAACAATGTTTCAACCTTGATATAGGAAATAATTTGACGAACACATCCGCAATATTCTCTTATGAACCCACCCCCTGAACCACAATATCATTCAAATTGATCATATCCCTTATAAAGTGCAAACTAATTTCAATGTGCTTTGTCCTCTCTGAAGGTTAGAAAAACACAAGAAGGGGGAGGTTGAATTATGTTTTCTTTTTCTTTCTTTTAAAATTTTTTAAGTCAAATTCTAAACACAAGGTTGTAGAATCTGAGTTAATTAGAGATAGGCACTGGATATAATAAGCAAGAAAGAAGAATAACACACAACGTTATTCTAGTTCCTTTCACAAATTAAGAGTAATATAGTCTCCTTGTACTTACAAGAGATTTTCATTATAATCACACAATATTACAATTTACTCAAGGACACAACAAAGATACTTCATTTGCTCAAACACGCAAGTATGAGACTTTCTTGCTCGAGCACATAAGCTTGAGACTTCCTTGCTCAAACACACAAGTCTGAGACTTTCTATATTTAGCATACAAGCTAAAGACTTCCTTGCTCAAACGATTAGTAAGAGTTGCCTAACAATATACCTAGAAAATAAATGATTGTTAGGTGAATACACTTGATATACAATCAGAGGTGAAGGCTCTACAGATTTGAGCAAATTTTGGTAAAACAGGATGTTGTGCAAGATGTTCCAACATAAAGAAGTCTGGTGAAGAAAACATGTTACACAAGATGTCCTAGCTTGTGTCTCGACATCTTGACCTGATATAGCAGGTTGCTGCTGATCTAGTCCAAGATTTAAGGAGCAATCAGAACACGGATCAAGGAAGAAATAAACAGTTACTTCGAAGCCCATGAAATGCTGAAGGAATTTCTAATGATAAAGTTTTCATTGGGTAGTGATAGGTAAACCAGAGGTTGTTTACATAAAACTATACTACTGATATTTATTCTTCTTCCTAGCTCAGTATCCCCCAGATGTAGGTGAATTGCACCAAACTGGGTCAACATATTTTATGTTATTTATTATTCTACAAATTTACATTTCAGTATTTTCTTATTGATTAACATATTATAACAGATGTTGAAATATCTGTCGTGATTCTGTTGTTGATATTCAAAGTGTCAGCTTGACTACTTTACCTTTGTTTTAAAGTTATGCAGAGAACAATATCGTGACATGTTGTTAGGACACCTGTGATCTGCATGCCAGAATTTCAATTGGTATCAGAGCAGGCATCCTGTCTGTTTCTGGATGAGATCTTGGGAGATACTTTATAGTTCTTTAAACAAGGTGTGTGTTTGTGTGATCAGACCCTTCATTCTGATGTTTCCAAAGGTATTGGATATCCAAAATGATTGGTAATTGATCAAGGATGACAACTACTGGTTAATTGTCTTTTTCTTCTGTGAAGAGGTTCTTCTCTGTAAGGTTTCCTCTAAGATGTCTTGACATCTTGGCTGGAGCCTGTTGAAGATGTGTTCTTTGGTGTTCCACTGCATGTGTTTTTGATGAAAGGACTTTGGTAAAGCTAGATTGAAGACTCTATTCATGAAGGTGTCAACATCTATTGAAGTTCTAACTGTTCCAGCAAGGAGTAATGGAATGGAGAGAGTTATTTGTTGTTGTCTGTCTTTGATGTCTTGGTACTTGGAAGGTTGGTTTCTTCAAGTATTTTGAAGTCAGAAGAGGAGAGGTATAGGTTATAGATTTATTGGTTTATAGAACTAGTAAATACCTTTGTCATGATAAAGTTGCCAAAGACACTTGAGAATCCTCTCAAGTTCATTCATGAGTCAATCATGAAGATTTTTTTGGTGTTTCTGGAAAAGATGGAATTCCGGAGTCTTCTGGTTGCACTTCTGGATCAAGGATGGTCCTGAGGATCATAAATCTGAAGAATTTGGGGGTGATTTATTTTCACCTTCCATGTTGTGCAAGGTATTGTTTCTTCAGATCAGTTGTAGTGGTTCTGATAACGCAAAATCATATCGTTTATTTGACTTGATTTACATGGATTTTAACTTCAATTATTATAAGTTTGCCTGATTTTTATCATATTATTTAATCATTTTGTTTGTTTTTGTAGGAATGAAGAAATAATTGGAAAAGAAATAAAAGGAAGAAAATGGAAAGAAAAGAAGAAGAAAATGGAAAGAAAATGCAAAGAATGAAAAGAAGAACAAAGAAAGAGAAAGGAAAGAAAAAAAGGTGTGGGGGCTACCACACACCAAGTGGCACTTGCCACTTGGGTGTGGCGCCTGCCACATGAAGAATGGAGGAGAGGTGGCGGCTCCCACATGAGGAGGGAGTGGCGAGTGCCACTCCTAAGAAATAGGAGAGTGACAACTGCCACTCCTAAAAGAAAGGGAAGTGGCGTCTGCCACTTCCTCCCTATATTTTCTCCACTTCCTCCCCACTTTCTCTCAACCTCCAGGCTACATTTTCTCCTTGTTTTTCTCCTCATTTCAGGCCTCAAATTTGGTGTAACCGTCACCCACTAGCAGTATAAAAGGGAGGTCGTTTTAGAAGCAAAGGGGGAATTAATTTTCAGTTTCAGTTTTAGTATTTTTTTTTCTGCTTTTGTTTTAGTTTTCTATGCATTATTTTTAGAAGGCTTTGTAAGGCAAAATGTTATGCCATTAGTTTACGATTGATTAGAAGAGGCTGTAAACATTGTACCGACACTACAAGCCGACCTTCAAAAATCAAATCCAAGTTCTGTTAATTTCCAGGTTTTTATTTTATCTGCTTTATTGTTTATCGCTTTAATTTTATGCATTCCTCCTACCGTCTATTTAGCATTAGGATTGAATTTAGTAAAAATATGAAAGTCATGTCTGGCTAAAACCCTTAGTATCGGTATGTAGTTACGATCGGTCAGAGGGGGTTAAGTAAACCGTGACGTAGAATTTAGTGAAATAAATGTTTCTGGTCTCTGTTTCTTTTGCCAAAATTAATAACTTTTGTCACGAGAGTGAGAAAGTAACGAAGGTTAAAACCAATAGAGCGAGAGTTTGAGGTTTTAACCGGATAGCTGAAACTGAACTTTAGGCTTAAATACAACGAGGGCGCTTTAAGGTTAATTAGGATTTATCTATTTTCAAAAAGTGTTTTTAAATGCAAAATGAGAGAGCGAGAGCCGCATTCTGATTTGAGAGCATAGTCTAAGTCAAGAGAATGAGAGTGCGAGATAAGGGCTTTTAAATGAGTATTTCCTATAGACTAATATTTTTCATCTATTAACAAATGTCCATGAATTATTGAATCCCCAATGACCGATGAGATTACATACCGATATTCCATCATATCTTAATTTAGATCTAGTTTTAATTTCCATTTAAATTCTTGCACCCTAATTTAGAATTCCATTAGCCTTAGCTTTACATCGCAACAATAGATAACGGTAGGTTGACATTGGTCTCTGTGGGTTTGAAAATCTATTATATTACTTAGATATTTCTGTGCACTTGTGGAGCATCAAGTTTTTGGCGCCGTTGCCGAGGACCAACAGTCAATATTGTGATTCCATTGTTGCATAGTATAGACTAAGGCACTTTTATCTCAATTACTATGTATAACCCAAATTTCCTTTATAACTACCACCCCCAATATTTTGAGGAACCATAACATCCGCCTAAATTTGACCTCGAAATATTATTGGAGGATTTCAATACGATGCACTCTCACCCAAATTCCCTCTACAATTACCACTCTCAATCTTTT